TTATGTGACCCCTTGTTAGACACATAGTTCAATCTCTGTGTAAGATATTTAAAAGGGGGTGTTCAATACGGAGGTACATGTCCTACAAGTATTTACAAGGAGAGAAGAAGAAAAACAAATACCTAGAAATTCATCTTCCCACTCAGATGCCTGACCTCAAGATGGAAACACCCAGGGCACAGAAGAGTGTAAGGGGTCCCAGCAGAGTTTAGAGAAACATTTCTTCTTAGTCTGTGAAGGAGAGCCCAAGGCTTCAAGCTTGTGACCTTGGCTTCCAGGCATCTTCCCATGGGAGTTTCATAATATTACAACTTTTAAAGCCAAAAGGTGAGGAAGAAAGTTATATATTTCTAGTTATTTTTTCTTATCTTTGTAATGATCTCCCTGAGGAGGGGAATGTAAATTCATGATGCCCTTCAAGTGCAAAATTTGACATTTATTGTAATTGAGGAATCCCATTTGTCTTACATCCAATGCCATTTCCTATAGAAATGTGAAAGTTTGCTCCAAGACAAGAAGAATAGAAAATAGATCTCACAGATGTGCTGTCACCCCTCCTGTGCTACCAGAATATGCTTGTACAGAGGGCTAATCAGACCCTATAGCATGTCTTTTAACCTGAGGGCTGTGCTAACCATTCTGACCTGACAGGAGTGGGCCATCACTTAAAGCTGCCCCTTTTCTTTCTATACCTTTCAGGGAAGAAAAAACAAATCTAGTGTTGAAGTGAGGGTGTATTTGCATATATTTAAAATTATTCATAGCTGGGAGGCAAATGAAAGGAACAAAAGACAGGAGGAAAACTTGTATTTCTTTTTTCGTTTTTTCAGGAGTGCAGACTATGGAATTCTTATTCCTATGTTGCCTCTTTTGCTCATTCTCCTTTGCTCGTTCTTTCTCAGCTTCTACAACCTCTTAATTTTGCAATACATTGGGCCTCGAGTTTCTCTCATCTCTTCTCCTCTCCCCACATCTTCCCTTAGTGTTTCCTGACTTGAAAGACCTTTAAGGTAACAATTTCCAAATTTATGTTTCCACCACAGATCTCTTTTCTCAATGCTAACTCTCCAACTAACATACATGCTCACCTGCATGTCTAACTGGCACTTCAACTTAACAATTCCAAAATGGAAGACCTGATTCCCCCTCAAATCTGGTCTTTTCCCTCATTTACTCATTTACTCATATACAGTAAATGGTGTCTACATTATTTTTGTTAATCAGGTCAAAAATCTTGAGGTCATCTTGACTTCTTTTTTACCTACATCCAGTTCATCAGAAAATCCAATTGGTTGTATTTCAAATATATGGATAATCGTCCCTCCATTTCCATTGCCCTGGTCTAAGCCCAACATCCACTGTAGGCTGGAAGTAGTCTCCATGGCAACCACCTCTAACAAGTCTCTCTTGTTATAATAATACTAGAGGCCGGGCTCATGGATTGGCGCACCGGTAGGGTCCCTTTGCATAGCTTGCAGGGATTGGGCCGAAACCGGCAGTCCAACGCCACCTGCTGCTCCTGCCTGACGCTCCTGCTCATCCCATCCCCACTGTGCCTGCTGCCACCGCCACTTGATAGGCTCGCTGCAGTCTCTGGGCTGTGGTGGCCAGCTGCTAGCCCTGTGTCTGGCACCCATCTGTCAGTTGAGTGGCACTCCTGCTGTGGGAATGCACTGACACCAGGGGGTAGCTCCTGTGTTGAGCATCTGCCCCCAGGTGGTCAATGCACATCATAGCAACCCGTCCTTCAGTTGTTCAGTCGTTCGGTTGTTATACATATAGGTAACAACTATAATACACTGAATAATTTCTAATGTGCGAGATTTTTGCCTTAGAGATATATAGCCTTGCAAATCATGAAAGCTGTGCAATTCATTCCCATCACATTTTATAGATGAGAAAACTGAGACTCGGAAATGTGAGTAGTTTGTGACCCAGGTTTTCTGTAATACAGCTCCAATTTAAACAGATTGATCAGACTCCAAAACCAATTTTACATAATATTCCACCTCTGTTGTCCCACCCAGAGGATTGTCTATATTGATGGGAATCTGGAACCATGTAGGAGAGGATAAAAACACTGTGGTAGGTGCATTAGGTATGGATGTTTTGGGCCTTGTCATATCACAGCATTAAAGTTATGTCACTTAAGTGCTTTTCTACTTAGTCTACAACTAAGGCCAGAACAAAAGCTCATATTAAAAAAAAATTCAAAAATTATTTTTTGGAGTATGTATGAATATGGTCAAAGAAAAAGATCATAAGACTGAGCTGAAACTAATAGATATAATATTATAGAAAAGGTTATATCTGAGATTTATAAAACTTGTATTGAGCTGTTACTTAAAAAAAAAAGGATAGCAAGCCAAATGGATTGAGGCATACATGAAAATAAAAATCCCTAAAAGACTGAAAAGGAAGGTATAATAAAATAGGTAAGAAAAAAATCATCTCCTTTCCCAGAAAAACTACACTGTAAAATAAAATTCCTTAACTACAGTTTTTGAGCAATGATTTTTTTACTGTTTTTTCCTTAGACATAATTCAATAATTTCAAATAGAATATTTAAAAGCTCTCCACATATATTGTACTACTACTTTTTAATAATTTATAATGCATAATATTTATCATCACTGTAAAAACATGTTTTAAGAGTCTTTTTTTTAAATATATTTTATTGATTTTTTTACAGAGAGGAAGGGAGAGAGATAGAGAGTTGGAAACATCGATGAGAGAGAGACATCGATCAGCTGCCTCCTGCACATCTCCTAATGGGGATGTGCCCGCAACCCAGGCACATGCCCCCGACCGGACTCGAACCTGGGACCTTTCAGTCCGCAGGCCGACGCTCTATCCACTGAGCCAAACCGGTTTTGGCGTTTTAAGAGTCTTTCATTATTCATATTTCTTTTCATTCATCCATTCTTATTGAACTAAATAATGTAAATTACCAAGAGGAAGTCTTCCTATGCTACCAAGTGCCTTACAGTAAGAATTTGGAGAACACAGAACACAGGCTGAACTAGAACGCTCCTTTCTGCCACCACATGTGTTTCTGTTTGTGTTGTGCTCCACAAAGAACCAAATATTGTCCTGCCCAAAGGGGTGGGGCAGGGGTGTTCTTGCTGAAGACTGCTCTGTGTAGGAAGAGAAAAGACTGATGCTACAGGCCCTCCAAAGGAATTCACTTAAGCTTCATACCAGATTTGAGAGGGCTGGTTTTACCTGCCTAAAGTTGGAACACGCAAGACACCATTCAAGCAATCCCTAGGTTGGGGATACAAGTTCTACCCTGTGATTCCAGTGTAGTTCTGACCAATGTCTTTTAGCAACCGCCCACTTTACAATGTAAAGCATTGAGACACACCTCAGTAGGTGGGTGAGCAGAGAGGTGAATTTTTACCTTCTACTCTTCCAAAGTTTATGCTTTGATCCCAGATCTACCTTCCTTTATGAATAAATGAAAAAGAGGTGGGGGGGGGAGGAAGAAGTAGGAGGAGGAGGAGGAAGGGAGGAATAGGAAGGAAGGAAGGAAGGAAGGAAGGGAGGGAGGAAGGAAAAAAGGAAGGATGTTTCTTGATCTTGAAGAGATTAATCCTCCAGGGTCAGGAAATTTGGAAGGCATATTCTCCAGGGTATTTATTTTATTTCTGGTAGTAAATAAAGCCCTTAGGGAAGGTTATTAATTTATCTGGCCTATTTAGTATATTAAATTACACTATTTCATACTCTAGTGGCCTGAAAAAGTTAATTTACCATTTGAATGACATGAATGATGAATACTTACACCAAGTCTTGGCACTTTACAATACTGAACAAAGATTTAGTATATATTTTTTTTTTACTTAGGTGTGCTTTATTGTTTATTAGTGTCAATGGAAAATAAAAATACAATAATGCTCTGTTGGAGGATAGCCTGACTGTTGCTGGCTCGGGTGTCATCTCAGTGTGAAAGATGCCTTAACATGGGGCCCTGGTCCTCAGGGAAGAAGAGACTATCAGAAAAGAAGAGGAAGGAGATGGTGCCAAGTCCTTGGCTTAATGTGCTCCTCTCCTTTTAGCTGGTACATTAATAGTCTATCCCATGACCTCTCTATCAAGACTTTATGAACTGCCATGTGGAGGCTAGCATGGGATTCTGAAAATTAACAGTTGATTTTTGTTCCTCTGGACATATGGTCTGCTTGGGGCACTAAAATGGTGTGGAAAAAATGTATCATAATTTGTATAATTTAAGCAATGGGGAGGAAGGACCAGACCTCTGAACTGCATTTCATATGTAAATGCAGTTTACATATGGGCCTTGTGGATGTCCAAGAAATAGAACTTCTGTACTGAGGGGGCACGCTTCCACACACTGACCTTGCAAGAGGAATGTAGATCAGACTGAACACAGCTGTACCCTTTAGTTATTTTGGAGGCAAACTTATTAACCTCAAAAGGTAATACTGGGCGCTGCTTTCTGTCTTTGAAAGCTATGAGGATGCCTTTGTGTTCCAGAAAATGCTTGGATCAGATTCCACTTCTCCATAAAAGAGGAGGTGTGATGAAATAGAGACCGGCAAAAAGCATTCTTCTTATTTTTACAGATCCAGTAGAGTGAATGCATTAAAGAAATAAGTGAAAATACAATGGATCAATGAATAAATAAAGATATAAGTGACATTTCTAAAGTAGCTCTTGGGGAGTCCAAACTCCCAGAGAGCCAACAAATGATACATGTAAACAGAGGGCTTGTAAATTGTCGAATGCCTGAGGTTAGCCACAGCACTGCTTGGCTCTGGTCCCTCCAAGAGACCGGCAATTGGCTGCAGGAAAGTTGGAATTCCAGAGCACATTTGACTCTGCTTCTCCCTCAGAGTTTGGCGCAGGCTTCTCCCTGGGCTGCCTGCAGGCCTTGTAGGACACATCTGACTCCCCTGCGGTGCATTCTCTCCCTGCTCCCGGGCTACCTGTTTACTCCCCCAGGCGGAGGGACAGGGACAGTCAGGCGCGACCCAGCAGGTGGAGCGGCTGAGCTGGCCCCAGGGCAGGCCCAATATGAATCTCAGTGTGGGTGTGGGGCAATTTGGGTGGGAACAACCTGGAGACTACCACCTCGCCGTCCTGCGCCGGGCTGGTGGGGTGTGTGCAGAAAGAGCAGAAATAAATAGGAGGCTCCCTCCTCCCAGCGACTCTCAGGGATCCGGAGGCCGCCGCCCTGGGTGTTTGCCTGCCCTGTAGCCAGGGTTCCAGTCTGAAGAGTAGTTTCGTTTCCTTCTGGCTCCAGGATTAGTTTCCAGGCACCTCCTCGGACGCCCAGTGGCCTGGAAAAGGGACGCAGGAGGAGGCGGGAGGCTCGTCTAGGGGCTGCCCGCCCTGCAGCGCGGGTTTGATGGACCTGACCGCCCCGGGCAGCGGCGCCGGCTCCCTGCCGCTGCTCCTGGCCCTGGGTAAGTGGCCGCACTGGGTGCTGGAGACCCAGGAGGAAAGCTGGGGTGGAGTCGCAGGGAGAGCGAACTCTGGTCTGAGCTGGCATCTGGACCCAGGGCGGCGGGGGCCCTGCCAGGCGCAGGTCAGGGAACTTGGGCCGCTGGGAGAGTGCGACGTTTTAAGGGCCCGGCAGTGGGGCACCTGCTGGGGCTGGGCTGTCCCTGGGCGCGCAGGGCTGCGAGAGGGCGGAAGGGATCCCGGGCCCAGCGGCGGGTGCTGCAGCTGTGGGCGCAGAGTGGAGGACCCGGGTTGCTAGGCAGGGTGCCCTCAAAACCTTGGGGGGCTCCGTGCTCCTGAGTGAGAATTGGTGGGAGGAAAAGCAGGAGCATGGGAGAGGAAGAGAAAGATATCCCGGGGAGTAGTTGGAAAGAGAATTCCTTGGCTTAAGATGTGGGCTGGGAGTGCAGGGCAAGGTGGATGGGTCTTTCCTTGGTGTGTGTGCCAGAGGTAAGAGAGAGATGACTCCTGGGGAGACTCGAGCTGGCCGAGGCTTGGGATTGAATTCTTACACCTGTTTCTTGCTGGAGCAGTGCGGGGAGCTGGAGGAGAAAAGGCAACTTGTGAGACCTGATCTCCTGTTGCTGATGGGGCAGCAAAGAAAAAGGAAATGACATGTTCCCCCTAGGGCACTGTCCAGGAAACACACAGATGCTTTCCTGGGGATCTAGTCACATGCTGCTTAGACCGGGATGCGCATTTTAAGGAGTTGTTAGGGGATTTCACCATCGTGTGAACCCCATGGAGTGTACTTCCACTAACTCAGAAGGTATAGCCTAACGCACACCCAAGCCCTATGGTATGGCCTAGTGCTCCTAGGTCCCAAGCCTATACAACGTGTTACTGTACAAAGCAACATGAAATTAAATCAAGCACAAGAGAAAAGCATGCAGTCAGGACACTTGGTAAACAAAGATGTATGAGACTGCTGCTAGTGTAACAAAGCGTGCTGTTTTACAGGACACTTGTTTTTAAGGAGTAGAAAGATGCAGTCTAAAATAACAATAAAAAGTGTAGCATAGGTAATACGTAAACTAGTAACAGTCACTTCTTATCATCATCAAGTGATCTGTACTGTACATAATTGTATTGCTGTACATTTATAAGACTGGCAGCACACTAGGTTTGCTTATGCCAGCATCGCCATACACCCGTGAGTAATGTGTTGCTCTATGACATCATGCTAGCTACGAAGTCATTGGGTGATAGGAATTTTTCAGCTTCATTATAGTCTTTGGGGACCAACAATCCTATATGTGGTCCCTTGTTGGCCAAACCTCCTTAGGCAGCATGTGACTGTATATTCTTTATTTTAAGGAGAAGTTGCAGGAGGGGAAACTTTTCTTTATTTCGAAGGTTTAATCTAGGTCAGTGATGGAGAACCTTTTGAGCTCGGCATGTCAGCATTTTGAAAAACCCTAACTTAACTCTGGTGCCGTGTCACATATAGAAATTTTTTGATATTTGCAACCATAGTAAAACAAAGACATATTTTTGATATTTATTTTTTTATTTTAATACCATTTAACAAAGAAAAATCAACCAAAAAAATGAGTTCATAGGTTCGCCATCACTGATCTAGGTGGTTAGGTTAAGGACCACTGGGTGTGGTCACGTGGTGTGAGGGAAGAGAGGGCAGAGGCAGGTGGGAGGAGTTGCAGGATGCCCAGAAACCCCTGGAGGCTGTCCCCACCACCTTGGGAGTCGGTGCTGGCAGACAGGAGCCTGGAACTTCAGGTGCTGGGGGAGGTGTATGCAGCTGGAAACCAGGCTCCCTTGGCCCTCCCGTGTGATAAGGTAGCAGGAAAACCCACCACTTTAGGGCATCCCATTGACATCACGGTCATTTTGAGGGGGGTGGAGGGAAGGAAAACTAGTATTTTGCAGGCTTAGCTGGGATGTGGGGCAGGGGCACCTGGGCTTGGGGCATTTATGTGGGAGAGGAGAGTCTTCACAGCTGAAGTGTCTACAGCTTCAAGCCTAGGAAGGGCTGGGATTTCTCTTACGGAGGGAAAAGAAATGGGACCTAAATGGAAACTTTCATGTGGCTGTTCCTTGGAGTCAGAGAGGTGGCTAAAAAGGTTTGTAACCTTGGCTGGAAGTGGACAGTCCATGGTTAGAGAGAAGGAACTGATTTAACAAACCCTGCAGAGGAGGAAGACAGGAACAGGCTAGTGGTGGAGTGATGTGGAGCCTCCGGGAAGAGCAATGGGACTGAGAGTTACGCCCAGGACCAGTGCTGAGGCTATGCCAGTTCTGGATGAAGGTGCAACTTTCTCCTTACAATGCATATGGACTGTCCAACACTCAAAGTATTTACTGAGCATCTGCTCCAGTCAGCAGGATGCTAGAGTATATGGAAATGAGAGTGGGATGAGGGCTCAAGAAACTCCAAGATGTAATTTCGAAGGCATGATTTCTGCTCTAAAAGATGTTATGTTGAATTGGAGATACACGACTAACAGATATGACACAATAAGAGAAAAATTCATGAAACCAGGAAGGGAGAGCTACCTCCACCAGAGCTTCAACAGTGAAGGGTGGGCTAGTGGGGAACAGCTGCCTGGAGGACACGAGTGGGTGCCTTGAAGCTTGGGTAGCATCTGAAATAGTAGAGAAAGGATGCCAATGATATACAAAGGCTGGTGATGGAAATAAGATTGTTTTCCTGGAGAGACAGTCAGTCAGCATGCCAGAAAGTAGAATTTATGAGAGGCAGATGGATGACGAAGAGCCAAAAAAAGCTACATTAAAATATTTGGACATGAATCAATAAACAGTTAAACACACACCATCATAGGTCTTGAATACGGAATGATATAATGCAAACAAAGATTCAAGGAGGTAAACTGGTCAGTGGGGCGCAGTGTGGGAGCAGGGGGAGAGGTGCTGGGGGCCAGAGACCTGATTGTCTCACAGCTGTGATCCAGGCATGAGCTCATTCAGGCCTTAAATTAGGGTGATGTGCCCGGCGGAATGTTATGGTAGAAATTATTCTTCCAGATTAATAGATATTCTTCCCCCTTTACTATCACACAGTGCTTTATCTTTTTTCTCAAACACTGTTAAAAAGCAGAAAAACCCTAACCTAGTGTTATTGTACACTCAGTAACCTAAATGTACAACTGCCCTGTTGAATGTTTGGCTTAGGGAATCGAACTCTTTAGATCCCCTAAAGCTCCACTCTGTGGTTTGTTGGCATCAGTGTTCACAGAAAGTGGTCCTTTTTCTCTCGTGCTCACTGTACTTTTAAGTCTCATTCCCAATTTAAGTCACATGTTATTGTATTTACTTTTTGAAAGGAATGTGAGCAATGTACTGTGTGATGCACTAGCGTGTGTGTGTGTGTGTGTGTGTGTGTGTGTGTGTGTGTGTCAGTGAAAAGTACCTTGAGAACTGGCAATGAGCAGGCATGAGACCTGGTTCTACTCTGCTATTCCGTGACTCAGAGATGCCTGCAAGTTATAAATTTCTGGGCCTTGATTTTCTCATTTGCAAAATGAAGCAGTTGCTTTAGATGAGACTAAAGTTCTTACCAACTTGACATTGTAGTGATCTGTAACCAACACTTTCACTGGGAAATTTAAGAGAAAATCTTTTTACAATATCACTTAACTTCCATTTCCTAGGAAATGGGATCTCTGTTTCAGGCAAACGTTATCACCAGAGATAATCATGGATGCTTGATTCTTTGAGAAATGTGGTAAAGGGGCAATAACTTTCTTCAAAGTGGGTTTTTTATCTTTAAAAAAATTGAGTCATTCCCCGTAATTTTTTTTTGTTTGTTTCTCCCTCACATCCACTTGCTATATAACACTAACACTGAAATTATAACCAATGAAAAAGGGGAAAAACTTTTCTTTTGAAAAAATGAGTGCGTTTTAAGGTAAAAAAAAAATGTGTTCTCCTTATTAAAATCTAAAAGCTTAATATTTGCAAGTTGGTTTTAAGTTCTGCTAGAAAACATGAATGTACTCATGATTGTAATATGTAGCTTTGAAGTTATAAAGCAGAAGGTGGCAGCAGGTAAAATTCCCATTGTATAAATGACGTAACTGAAGCCCCAAACACTGGAAGATTTTAGGATTTGCCTCTTCAGACATGATGTTGACTTAAAACAGAATTGGAGTTTTTGCATGTGTTTTTTTTCCACTTGAAAAACCTCAGGTTTCACAGACCACCCTTGCATATTAACCACTGTTACAAAATCAGTTTTCGCCATTGCATGATTCTCTCTTGTGGTGTGGAAATGCCCGAACAATTCTGGGAGAGCCCAGTGCTGCAGGCATACCCCGTGATGCCCCTACTGAGGGTTGGCCTGCCAATGCCTGTGCCAAAATGGAAAGTGCAGAGGACAGAGGATACTTATGTCTCTCCCAGGGTCACAAGCTTCTGGCGTGGCCTCATCTCTGTGGGATTGTTCACCCCAGTACTCCTGTGCCCCTTAGTCCACAGAGAGCCTGGAGGGAAAAACATCATCTTGTTTGTTCTCATCCTTTAATTGTAGTCAGCTCATGCCAGGATATAGACATGAATACCCCTGACCCGTGCTCATAAGCATCTCTGTAAGGATCAATATCTTTCCAGGAGGGTCCAGACAAGCCCGAATCAGGGCTGTGTGTAGTTTAGGCTTAAGCCATGATCATGATGCACTTCTAAATGGCTCCGACAGAACCCTGGGTCCACAAAGAATCTGAAGTCCAGCTGGTCAGGAGTGCTTCAGACTACAACCTAAGAGGAAAGCAATCTGATGGAAATGGGTACGCTCTTACTGCTAATGGCTGCTAGCTTTCCCAGGCATCTTTGTATCTTGAAAAGGGAATCTTGGTAGCTCAAATGAATTTCTAATTGCTAAATAAGATAATTTTTTAGATGGTTGACAGAGATGGAGTATTTAATCTTAGGTTTCATCAATTAGGTAATAACTTACTTTGATTATCAGCAAGACTAAGTCAAATAGCCA